GTAACTTTCATATAAAAAAATCTGGTCATGAGCCCCAGTCGGGGCTCGACACCAAGACAGACAGACTGACTGACCGTCAGTCGCAATGTGACTTTGACTTTGACTACGAAGACAGTTAAAGTGTATCAGTCGCCGAAGTGAGATCTCAAGGCAGCAGTTACGAGTTACGAGTTAGCCAGCAGTGAGCAGCAGTAGAGTGTGAGTTGAATTGTAGTAGTCACCGATTTCAGTTGTAACGAGTGAACCGTGACAGAGTGAATTGATTTGTGCGTAGGGTTTGTAAAGTGTGGAAACCCGTAACATCGTTATAATTAATTGTAGCCGATACTTGTAGGTTGTTAAATCAACCAATTAACATCCGAACGGCGTCTTCAGTAACGAAATACGTTACAATATGAAAGCATTTTTATTCAAATAAATATTCAGCAAAGACTGGCTTTACTCCTTGGCACTGCAGAAGGAAATGTTCTGAAGGCTGCCGCACAGAGTTAGGTGACTTATTTCTAGTTTAAAAAAGTAAAGCTGTCCCTGTAACAGGCCGTGAAGGCCCATAGGGTTGTGAGACGTTGAGGGTCCCACATTACCTAGACCAAGGGTCTCCAAACTACGGCCCGCGGGCCACATGCGGCCCGCGATGTGATTTTATCCGGCCCGCGAAAGAATTGTGCAGAAATGCGCCAATTGAACTAATTTTCCAATGAGTACTGGTAAATTTGATTCCGAGCTTATCGATCTGACATCTTATGCTGCAATTCGATGGCTTAGCTTTGGAAAGGTTATTTCGCGCTTCTTTCAGCTCAGTAATGAAATTGGCATATTTCTTACTGAGAAAAAAGCGGCCTCCGTAGTCTAGGGGTAACGTTCACACCTCATGACTCAAGGTACGCTGGTTCGAACCCGGCGGAGGTTGTGGAAATTTTAAGGGCGGAAAAATTCAGGGAACAAGTCCTCCGGGAGGGACTTTAAGCCGTGGGTCCCGTGTCGTAGATTTACGGCACGTAAAAGATCCTCATGTCTCTAGGAGACCTCTGAGCAGAATTAGGCAGTTTCCCGCCCAAGTAGTTTCCAATGCCTCCATTAGATGGGGGAAGTATCGGGTATCGAGGGCCGACCTGGTTGGCTGAACGGGGCTCATAGCAAGCACCAGTACCGGTAGGGTATGGCGACTGGTAGAATATCAAAGGGGGACGTACAATAGACTATTAGTCGCGGTGCATGGGGAAAACCACCCTCTCCAATAATAATAATACTACTGAGAAAAACCATCACGAACCACTTTTATCAGATACCAAGTGGCTTTGGAAATTAGCTGTTTTGCTGATCTGGTGAACCATATGAACCATTTGAATTTAAAGTTGCAGGGTGAAAGTAACTTAGTCTGTGATTTATTTGCACTTATCAAGGCATTCAGAGCAAAGTTGATACTTCTGGAAAGCCAAGTGAAAAATTGTAACTTTGTTCATATGCTATACTGTGCAGAGTTGCATAAAAAGGGTGAAGCAGAATTTCCTTCCTCGTTTGCAAATTTAGTCATTTTAGATTTGAAAGAACAATTTCGGAAGCGATTTGCTGATTTGGATTCCAGTGCTCAGGAAATTAGATTGTTTCAAAATCCGTTTGACCGTGATGCTGCAGATGTCCCAAGTCAAATTCAAATGGAAATTATCGAACTTCAGGAAAATTATCATATTAGAGACAAATACAAGGAAGGAAATTTGATCGAATTTTATAAATTTCTGAACTCTGAGCAATTTCCAAATTTAAAGAAATTTGCTTGTAAATTTATCTCCATTTTTGGGACGACATATCTGTGCGAACAAGCTTTTTCCCGGATGAAGTACATCAAGTCGAAATACAGGGCAAATTTATCCGATGAAAATTTAAAGTCGCTACTTGTGATTAGCGTTTCAAAATTTGAACCTCAATTTAATCATATTTTAAGAATGCAAAAAGAGTTCCATCATTCACATTAATTGTTTTAATATAATTTGTGATGAAAATATGAGCATTTGCTGCTACTGTCTGTTGTCATTAATATACGATAATTTATTCTCACGTACTTTGTATTTAGTTTATGAAATTCTATGCTTTCAATAAAACTCATTTACCTAGAGTTATTGATTTCTCATTTTATCCGGCCCATTGAAAGTGCTGAATTATCTAATGTGGCCCGCGGTTCGAAAAGTTTGGAGACCCCTGACCTAGACAATCGGCTCAAAGATGGCGGTAAGGCTGTCAGCCTTACGCGCAGCAGCGTTTTACTCCCCAGGAAAATTATTTAATTAATTCCTGGTACTCATTTCTGTTAGAGGCTGAGTCGACCCCAGGGCCATAGTGCGGCTGGAAGGATTAGGTTAATTGGAAAAAATCCAATCACCTCATCGGGATTCGATCCCGCGACCTTCCGGCTTGTAGCGTAGTGCCCCCGACCATTTCTAGTTAGCAAAGAAAAAAGTAAACTTGTCCCTGTGCTTAGTTAAGCACCATGCAATCGGTTGTTTCATTTTACGAGTAGTTTCTGTTTCCTGGGTTACATATAATTCAGCTGAATATGTTGACGTATGTCAAAGAGCATCCTGAACGATTGTCTTTCCGTTCAGGTTCAGTTTTGTGTAGCGACCCTGAAATCGCGTCCGAAATGACAGTTGTCATTAACCCAATTAACTTCGATTCTTGTAACTTATTTTTAAGTAAATAAAATAAAGTTACCGAAGCTGATCTCCGTTGACTCTCAACAAAAGGATTGAATATGTGAAACTGGACACACACAGACAGGTGTACCTACCCGAAAATAACCTCTGCGCAGGTTGTTGCGCATCTTGGTGTTTCTACTGTTTCATACTCTGTAGGACCTTTTATGGTAAGTAGGACAATATGTTGTGTGGCAACTCATGCAACTGGACAGGCGCCTTCCATCTTGCCTTCTTGCAGCTATCGTTTTTTTGTTGTCTAATAGTGTTGTATCAACTACTTCTGCCTGGACCGGGTTTAAAGGAAAGGTTTACGACTTCAAGCGTACCTCAAATGATAAAATCGATTTGATGTTGTTGCTCCCCTGGCAATAGTTTGTCAGTGTACATTATGTTGAAGCAGCTTTCACTATCATAACCGTATTTAGAGGAGGCACTGCACTACATTCCTCCTCTGGAATGGCAGAGAATACACAAGACAAAATTTAGTTTCTGAAAGAATGCGTGCCAAGTCTCGAACTGCGAACTTCCCGAATAGGCTTGTTCAGCCAGTCTGTTCTGTGTATTTGGAAATGGAAGTTATGGATTCTTGTCTTTATATCCGTCAGTACAACAAATTGCTTGTATAATATATAACAATATAATAATAATTCCCCCATGTGGAAGCGAATTGAAATACTTCTACCGTGCCAGTCGCAGAAGGCGGCGAAGAGGGAGCCTAGTGCCTCGGGGTATAATTCGGCCACCCTGTCACTGGGGGACATGAATACAGAGACCTGGTCCCCCAGGTTGGTGATTGGACGAAAGAATGATGACCCTGCTTTGTAAAAAAAAATCGTTGCAAATTACAAAGGAGTGAAAGCCGGATGGTCTAATTCCCAGGTGCACAAGTCTGGCAGATTCTTCTAAGGAAGGCTATGTCAAAAGGGATGTTTTGCCAATGATGATGATGATGATGATAATGACGACGATAACGATAATAATAATAATGGTAACAATAATATTTACGTATCATTTAGTACCACATGTTTCAGTCTTCATCTTGGTCATCTTCAGGTTGTCAAACTTTACAAATAAACTGTTTCTAACTGAAAACCGTCATAACACAACAACCAATAATACGTGTAAGTAGCTCACTTTTGCTACATGTTTCGGCCTTCAAAGGCCATCATCAGGCAAATACATTAAACTTATCGTTATTGAATTTCATGTCAAATATAGGTTACAGTATCAAACTTCCAAGTGTACATAATGGTATAAAATGATATGAGAGAATATAAAATATAAATTACAATAAAATTTGAAGTCTTAAATAACCAGTTACATAGTCAAAAGTACAGTTAAAATTTGTATATGTGATGGTAATTGGAAGTTGGCAGTTGTAATCGTGATATATGCAATGTTTATATGGGCATATTATATACACAATGGCTGATGTGGGGTTCGGAGGCCCGTTGTTATGTTATATGTTATTATTTAATATTTGGTACTATTTGATGGGCGACTCCGTTGTGTAAATGTCCTATCTGATGGAGAGATGGATTACAATGGATGAGGTGGTCGCAAAGTAACTTTGACTCTGACTTTGACTTTTGAGGCGGGTGCAGTTACCCCGTATGGAGGAGGGCTCGAATAACTCCACCGTAGCCCTGCTAGCCGTAGGAGGCGACGGGAAGGGAACCCAGTGCCTGGGGGTATAACCGGGCCACCCTGTTCCTGGGGGATAGAAATACGGGGACCTGGACCTCCTGGTTGTGGGAGTCTCGAATATGAGACAGTAAAATGTGGTCACGAGTCCCGTGGGACTAGGACATGAGAATGGCTGCGCTGGCGAAGACCAGCAGCATTTGTAAACGACAGATCCATCTTCTCGTCCGAGAAAACGATATATAAGGACTACGACCACAAGTTTTCAGTTGAAGAGAAAATGCTAGTCATGATTCTCAAGGGGCTTGGCGCCATGTCGAACTGATTGGCGGCAAACCGCTATGCCGTAAAGAAATTTTGACTTTGATTTCGAAAAATTAACTTCGACGCTGACTGTGAGTCGTGAACCGGTCGCCATGGAGTAATACAAAATTTACATTCTCTTTCGCATTCGTATTATTTCGGTTTTTTTCCCAGAAGTCGTTCTCTGTGTTGGGAGAAAATGAAGATTTAAAGGAACGTAGGATGAAATCTGCGTGCGCGATCGCAATTCCCGCGTTGGCTGGTGACTTTTCTTGAAGCTTGGCTGCGTTGAATTGCGTCACTCGAGCAGTTTGAAATTAGCCAATTAGGTTACAGCATGGGCGTCGCTTCCATAGCTTCAGAAGATCCGTGAGGAGAAGCGACAGCTGCCGACAGCAGACCAGTATCGTTCAATTTGCTTGCAGCTGTTGAGAAGAAAGCGTTGTAGAAGAAGTAGCGGAAGAAAATGAGGGAAATAGTACATATCCAGGCTGGCCAGTGCGGCAATCAAATTGGTGCTAAGGTAAAGATTTACGCATGTTGAATGTATAAGACAATTTAAAGACCCTTTTAATCGTAATTGCCGTGTATATAATTCGATGGCATCTCTGGTCGGTTTGAGCTTTGTGTTTGTATATTATTTTGTCTAACGAAACGTGTGTTGTGTGTTTTTTACCATCCCGTTGTAATATTTTTGTCGCTGGCAAGGGGCGTCACGGTTTTCTGCCTTGGCGCATTACAGCATTTCTGCATGGGGTGGAATGTTTCCGAAACGAATGTGTCTTAAGTTACATGATTATGAAAAGCCGTCTACACCGATCTGATTACGCGCTGTAGTAGTTGACATTCACTTTTATTGTGATACGCGTATTCGAATCTCAGCCTAGAAATTGTGCATAAACAACACAATAGTGTTTTGTATGTTTCGTCTTGTTGGTAGTTATATCAGTAGGGTAAAGTTGCCCCTGTGCTTGTCTACTGTGCTGACCACTACAAGAACACGTATAGGGAAGTGGTTGTATAGATCCTTACTTTCTTCACCTCGGCAGTAGTTGGAGGTGAGTGGACAGATTCACGCCTCGGCTGCTTTACCCCCCGAGGAATGAGCCGCCGATCCCGGATGTCAAAATAAAATTTTCATCGAAATATCATTAGATGTTATACATAAAGAAGTTTGAAAAGGGTCTGTAAATTTTCAAATTTGCTTTCTGACCAGATTTGTTCATTATGATTCCAGTGTGGCGAATCTAAAATAAAAGGATATTAAAAATTGACCAGCAAGTGGAACGAATATCCACATTCTTCGCTATCAACCGCTGTAGAGAAGTGTGGCCACGTGATTGTTACCATAGTAGTACTGTGACACAGTAACAGTTTCCCGTGAAAGAGGGAAGTAGGCTACTGCCAGTTTCTCCTCAAGCCCTTCCAGAAAATTGTGTATATCCAAAAACACAGGATAAACCATTTTGATTTCAGTCTGTGCAGTTCATATCTAAAGATGGAGTGTGATGTGTGGTTCAGTGTAGAAGAGTTAGTGACAGGCCACTACCACTTCCTCCTCAGATCATTTTAGTTCATTGTAGAAAATCCATCATGTGCGTAAATTTGCACCATATGACAAAATCAGCTCCATGCAGCAATCATTGGTAAGCTGATAGTCATACATGGTAATGAATTTTCAGGTTTCATGAATGACCTATTTTGTCACTGGGCAAGCAGCTTGCCACTTGTACTGGTAGACTATGGCCCCTGTATACGAGATTAGAACAGTGTTCCTTCAAACTTATAGTGTAGCTGTTTGCTATTTGTATTTATCCTGGAAAAGGAGAAATCTTAACGTCTAAGGAGTTTCAAAGTCTCATTTCATTCTTAGGATACCCTTCACACCATGTATAAAATCAGTAGGAAAGCATTTGTAGGTTGGCACTCTAGCCAAAACTCACCTTTCACTCACCTCTCCCATCAGAGTTACATCAAAGTGAATTAATTAAAGGGATTAGTGCCAAAGTGAGATGTACTCCCATAAATGTAATTAAGTGCAAGTAAATGAATCTGTTGGACAGACTACGGAGCTGGATTGCATGAGTCTCAAAGGTGTTGCAGCCAGAACTACCAGTATCAGTTGCAGTGAGATAATTTATTGGCAACTAGGAGAGACTGTCACACTTATGATGAAGTAAAGTAAAGAAAGCACAAGACAGGAAGAGATCACTGTCTCTTTACATTCTATTGGCAACCTCATAGTCTCAGACCTTGCGACTAAATTACTTTCTGATGGTAAAATTTTCACTGGAATGCTACATGAACTTGGGCAAATCAGTTTCCTTAATGATTTACGATCCTGAAGTTCAATTTGGAACTTTAATACAGTACTTACAAGGCAGATGTGGGAAATAACCCTCTGCAACCTTCCTATTTCAGAGTTGCTTTTAAACCACAGTGTACTCCTAACATCTTACAACCTTCCTCTGAAACTAGATGTGGGGGGGGGGTTGCATTTTCTGGGTCGAGACTCTTGTTAAAGTATGGGTGTCTGTGTGTGGTATAGATATGTTTATATATCACAATTTTTTGTAAATACAGTAAATTCTCAACCTAAGTAAATCTGTTGATACATGGATGTACAAGTTGTTTAAATGATTTAGCTATTCGACTGCTACGGTCACTATAAAGGGTCTATATCCTTTAATCCATTATGGTGTGGTACTCGTATGTTAGACACATCTGTATTGTACAGACTTGTTAACTTTAACCATCCAGTGAAATGAACATGTGTGTAGAAAAGTAATATATAAGCATGGGGGACTTGGCATGGTTTTCGGCTTGCACCAAAACTTTATGAATGAATTGACTGTAAGTTGTGAATTTACTGTATTGCAGTAAGTCACTTGAAAGAAGGTTGGTTTCCTGGTGAAATTATGGGAGTATTATAGTTACATGTTTATTTCATGAGAATTTGACATTCGGATGGTTGCGATTGAATGCTGCTATATTTTGGCATGTAACTCTGGTCTGGTTGGAGGATGGAGGAGTCCCAGTTTGACCATGTAGATAGATACCCTGTGGTCATGTGAAAGATATGTACTCTTAGAACAGACTACACAGTGTCATATCCCTTTGATCAGTATTATGCAAACCAACTGGAAGCAGGCCTAAATGTTTGCGGCGCAGGGAGATTGAGCCCATCATGCAGTGGTGCTGTTACCATTAGCAGCCAGAGTTTTGGGTATAGGCTAACTGGTGTTCTAAGGGTCCTTTCAGGAGCTTACTATAAACACATTTTTACATGATTAGTCTTGACAGTAATTTTGTGTAAGGGTCACACATATATACAGATACTGAGCAAGAATGCGCAATTTATGATATGACTTTCAAGTTGACATTCCTGATAACAGTACCAAAGCCTTATTTAATTAAGAGTTGCTAATGAATTGTCTGTCTGATGACTGTGAATTGGCATTACCTATTTTCAACCATAGCAGTGCTGCAGTATGTGATACAAATGGATTAGGTTATGACATATTATGTCAAAAGAGGAAATATATTCTTTGGATTGCATTTACCAGCACGAGGTTTGAAAATTTGTTCCATGAAAGAAAACTGTGCATAAGAAATAGCTTGCTCCTGTGTTAGCAAATGTGTATTTCCTAATCCCAGTGGAAGGGGTAGGGGGGCATCTTGACATTTCAAGGCTGATTTTAACACCGAGGTTTTGAAGTAGTCTGAAAATGTTGAGGTGTTGTGGTTTGGAAATAAGCAGTCATTGGATATGTTAAGTGACATTAGCAACCATTATCAGGAGTGTCTGGCTACAGAGATGGGCAAAAAAATGGATCTGACCACTTTCTGAAACTGCTTTCATTCCTCCATGAATTTGAAGCAAGTTTTGCATAAGATGTGAAGAAACGTTTGAAATGGATATGTATGCTGAGAACTACCAAGATTCATTTATAAAAGTAGTTTGTGGTTTGAAAGTTGTGAATAGGAGGCATGTTGCTGTTGCCATGAATGTGTATTCCAGATATAAAAGCAAGCAGGAAATATGTCGTATAATATTTTTAAACTATTTGAATTTGAATTTGAAATTAGTTTTATACAAAACGTATAAGAAAATTTTAAAATTCTTATGTTTTGTGAGCTAGCAAAAGAACTTTTAGCAACTTCTTATTTTACATGTTGCCATCCCTGCCGAAATACATAGTTTTCTCCACTCTAGTGTGCCCATTACACATTCAAACTTCCATAATAATTAATTTGCATGAAGAGAGAGAGAGAGAGAAGGATGTATTTATGAAACAAATTTCATCAAGTGTGATCTGATATCCATTGTGGTGTGAGGACTATTATTGTCACAATCCAAGGAAGATTAGTAAAATTGGCCCTGTTTTTAGTTAGGACTTACTTTTATGTGCTTTGACATGGGATAAAGTTCTGGTGTTTGGCCTTGAACCATGTCACTTTTTCATTTTGTCTTACACAGATTCTCATAATATTCAGTAATTTTTGCCAGACAGCCTGGGCTGTACTACTGCTGTCTGAAACCTGTAGTCAGAAATTAGCAAAAATAGAGGAATTGCATGCATTAAAAAGTTAGGGAATTGTTTGATTTATGAAAGACTGTTTTTGGTGGACCTCATAGCTCATCTAAGATACTTTTTGTTTGCAGTTCTGGGAGATCATCTCTGATGAGCATGGTATTGACCCAACTGGTGCCTACCATGGTGACTCCGACCTCCAGCTTGAGAGGATAAATGTTTACTACAATGAAGCATCGGGTGGAAAGTACGTACCCCGCGCCATCTTGGTGGATCTTGAACCCGGTACAATGGACTCTGTCCGATCTGGGCCCTTCGGTCAGATTTTCAGACCTGACAACTTTGTTTTTGGTCAGAGTGGTGCTGGCAACAACTGGGCTAAGGGTCACTATACCGAAGGTGCTGAGTTGGTCGACTCTGTGTTGGATGTGGTAAGGAAAGGGGCGGAGAGTTGTGACTGTCTTCAGGGTTTTCAGCTGACCCACTCCTTGGGAGGTGGAACTGGTTCTGGCATGGGCACATTGCTTATTTCCAAGATCAGAGAGGAATATCCAGATAGGATAATGAACACGTATTCTGTCGTACCTTCACCAAAGGTATCGGACACTGTCGTTGAACCTTACAATGCCACATTGTCAGTCCACCAGCTGGTTGAAAATACTGACGAAACATACTGCATTGACAACGAAGCCCTCTATGACATTTGCTTCAGGACGCTGAAACTCACGACTCCCACATATGGTGACCTGAACCATCTAGTGTCCCTCACAATGTCTGGTGTCACCACTTGCCTAAGGTTCCCAGGTCAGCTGAATGCCGATCTCCGTAAACTTGCTGTCAACATGGTCCCATTCCCACGTCTCCACTTTTTCATGCCCGGCTTCGCTCCTCTCACCTCCCGTGGTAGCCAACAGTACCGAGCCCTGACTGTACCCGAACTAACTCAACAAATGTTCGATGCCAAGAACATGATGGCCGCCTGTGACCCAAGGCATGGCCGTTACCTCACAGTTGCTGCTGTCTTCAGAGGACGCATGTCCATGAAGGAAGTTGATGAACAGATGTTGAACATTCAGAACAAGAACAGCAGCTACTTCGTTGAGTGGATCCCTAACAATGTGAAGACTGCTGTTTGTGACATCCCACCCAGAGGATTGAAGATGGCGGCAACCTTCATTGGTAACTCGACTGCCATCCAGGAGCTGTTCAAGCGTATCTCAGAGCAGTTCACAGCCATGTTCAGGCGCAAGGCTTTCTTGCACTGGTACACAGGTGAGGGCATGGATGAGATGGAGTTCACAGAAGCAGAATCAAACATGAATGACCTCGTGTCTGAGTACCAACAGTACCAGGAGGCAACTGCAGATGAGGACGCAGAGTTTGACGAGGAGCAGGAAGCTGAAGTTGAGGACAACTAAGCAGCTATGACACAAAAATTTTATATTGCCTCAAGATTTTGCAGTGTTTTCTAATTTTGCACTTTTTTATAATAATTTGCTCCTCTCTTTGTAATTCGCAAGACAATGCAGCACTAAATGATAATATAAATAATGCAGAGCTACTGCTTACTCTGAGCAGAATTAGACTTGCTGTATATCATTGTATTTCAGGTATTTTGAATGCTGTTCCAAAGTTCATGGAGGAAAATTGTTTGACTGAAAATGGATGTACTCTAGTAAAAAGTGTTGGTGTTGATTAATTTGCTTGGGCTTATTTGTGTTCCCTTGAAATTTCCTCCCACTTTATTCATAAGGTTTTATGTTTTCCAAGCTGAATAAAGAATTGCTGCAAAGTTCTACATTTGTCTTATATTTCACCTTGATTAATTTTCCTTATTCAAGGTTTATTTTGCCTTAAGCTGATTATGCCCCTCATTGTGTACCACAGATTTTTGCTACGGGGTGTAGTGCTGCAAGACGGGGGAGTGGTGTAATTGTAAGGGTCATCTTGTTACCTAGAAGGGAAGGAAGAAGTAGTCACTGTTCTTAAGAACCACAGGATACGAAGTGTGGGGGAGTGGATGAGATTGCATTTATTCTTAACCCTGGTGCTAGTCACAAGCAGGTCACCAGAAGGGAGTTTGAAAACTATCAAGAATTGAAATTTGCATCTGTGGCCTGAGTTGATATTACAGTATTTTTCCCCATTTTTTTTTTTTCTTCTTCATCTGTGGAATGGTATGTGATATATACTTAGCTGTTAGAAATCGTTTAAATGGTTGACTCCAATATTTGTGTGTGGCCATGTTTTTGAGGTCCTGGCTTTTAGCCTGCTTTGAGTGGGATGAAGCTGGATATTAGTGATTGTAGGGTGGACTGGAAATTTTGCAGTCAATAAATTACCTTGTATGGAAGCTGAATGTTCATAAGAGTTTGCAACTGGTATCTGTCCTGAATAATCGGCAAATTTAAGAACTGTGAGTAATGTGTGAACCCATTTGGGATAAACAGTATAGTAGTCGAATTAGTCTGTCAGTTATGACACACCGGTTCAGTTTTAGGGGGATGAATGTGGCCTGAAGTCTTGAAGGATTGAGAAACTCCATGGTTTGCTACATTTAAGGATACTGTCAGTGTCCCTAGCATATAGTGTCAGTGATGGGATGATTAATGAATATGTAGCAGGAAGTGGAATGGGGAACCTGAAGTACTGGTAAATAAATTGCTACCTTGTCCATGGTCTAACATATTTTAGAAGTAACAACAAAATGTTTTGCGTTTCATTAAGTGTCAAGTAACCTTAAGGACGAATTAATTCAAGATCTAGACTTGTCTCAGAACGTGTGGATGTGTGAATAAGATGAACTGCGAAGTGTGTTTATTCTTGGTTAAAGGACACCTTATTCTGATTATGTAATGTTGGCTGATAGATGATCTTTAAAATAATGGGAAGGAAGGAAGCGGTGTTGTTCAACATTTTCTCCAAGGGACTGGGAAAAATCATGAATGTCAGTAGAGCAGGTGTACACTTGAATCCTGGACTCACCAATTACGAAGCAGGAGCCCTCCACCCTACCACGACGGTCGACGTAAGTGTATTGTCGACATCCTCCTTCCCACGCCAGTGGATATTCGTCCACCTTCCGGAAGTCTAATGTTGGCAAGAGGAACTTCCAAACGACGACAGGAAATACGGCAAACTGAATCGAGCAGAGTCCAGAGTCCTTTAAGAATATAACTGTTCCAGCTTTAGTATCATAAGACTGCCTTCTTCAAAGTGTTTACTGATCCATCACTGAAAATATTCTTGTCATATTAGTTGATGTAGTTGCATCAACGTCGTTAAAAACTCAAGAATTGATCAATTAACGTAAGTAAAAAGGTTATGCAAAACTATCCCTGCAACAGGCCCTGGAGGCCCACAGGGTTGTGCGACATCGAGGCTCTCACATGTTCTATACAATTGGCTCACAGATGATTGTGATGTTGTCAGCCCTTTGTCCCCAGGGAAATTCCTGGTACTCATTTCTGTTGAAGGCTGAGTCTATGCCAGTTCTATAGTGCGGCTGGAAGCATTAGGTCAATTGAAAACTCCAATGACCTCATCAGAAAAAGAACTCGCGACCTTCCGGCTTGTAGCATGGTGCCTCAACCCTGCCAAGAGTATATTGCTGCTGTTCTGAAATTCTGAAATGTTGGAGATGAACATGCGCAGTGGATAGTTCTCGATCCCCCGTACTGTAGGGTAAACTGTACAACGATGTTATCAGAAGTCTAGGGAAAGGGAAGAATATTGGTGACATTGTGCAGTATTTTGAGCCCCATATAATACTGACGGTCTAGGTATCGTGTGTCTGTATCAGTGGGATAAAACAAAATGGAACTGAAAATTGATGAAAGCCTTGACCCTCCTGTGGCTACTATTAGGTCAAGCTTTGAATATTTATCATTTTATAGGAAAGTGTTTCTATTAGCCAGGACTATCTGAAGTCAGAGGGAGGTAAATTAAATTGTTCTGCGTCATAGACGCTTGCCACCCTTATGGGAAGTAGACTAGACGTTTGTATGACTCACGGGGGTGTACCCTTTCTCATGCCAGTCTCTGGGCTACAGGTCACAAAATAGGACACGCCCTGAGCAGAGTAAAGAATATGGAGAAGCTCACAAAATCAGCCTCATCACCATCAAAACAAATTTTATTGTAGGTTCCATGTGGACGGGAATGTCTTTCTCTCTCTGTTTAGACAGGCAGGCTGAAAAATCAGGGTCAAAAATTACCCGCCATATCAGAAAACCCCAAGATTCATTACCTTGTTAATTATAGTCTGTGAGCCAGATGAATCCATCCCACATCCTAACCCCATAATTCGTTCAGATACATGTTAATGTTGTCCCCTCATGAAAGCGTGGATCTATATATCAACTCCCCCATACGCCTTCATGACTTAGTTAAGCACAGGGACAAGTTTACATTTTACCTTACTGTTGTTGTGTACGTATATCTCATCTTCTCATTCTCGCTACAATTCCCGCGAATCGCATCCTACTTGGTTCGATTTTCCTAATACTATTTGGTGAAATGCACAAATTATGAGATTTCTCAGTATGCAGTTTTCTTCCTCCTGCCACTTCCTCTCTTTTAGGTTCAAATATTCACGATATTTCCGAGCTGGTTCAGGTGGTAAGACTTCGACTTGTTCTGGAGAAGTGCGCGGTTCGAATCTGGGCCGGGACCCTCACTATGCCGATGGTGCCTTTCCTGACTTTCTTCAGTTCGTTCTAACAAATGCCAGGACAATACGAACCTTAATTAAGCCACAACCACCTTTCGCTTCATCCTGTGCAATTCATTATTCACTCTCCTCCAGTCATTTGACACTGTATAACCTCAGTTACTGATAAACCACAATAGTAAACTTTGTCAGATACCTTCAATATTTTTTCCTTAGTTTTTTTTTTATTGCTAGTGGGGTGGGACTAAGTCCCTTGTACTGCGGCCATTTCTGGCCTATTGTACTGGTCCTAGATGATAGGTGAGGGTGATTGTGGAGCAATTGGTGGAATGAAGATTGGTAGGGGAAACCGAAGTACTCGGCGAAAACCTGCCCCAGTGCCACTTTGTCCACCACAAATCCCACTTGACCAGACCCGGGATCGAACCCTGGCCGCCGCGGTGGGAAACCAGCGACTAACCGCTTGAGCTATAGGGTTCTGTAAAAGAAGGGGAATGTTTTTAATAGCTGAGCGATTATGATCTTTTGGAAAAGCCCCTTCTTCTATAATTGGCATTTACATGGCCAAAAGCGGTCAGCCAGGACAGCGGGTGCCCCGACCTAGGTTCGAACGAAGCACCTTCTGAATTCAAGCTACACCAGCCTGCTCGGTGCTTACAGGTTTATTTGTCAAAGTCACATACGGCCGACTATATTTGAGTATGACCTAACTTCCTGACAGTGTACTTACAACATGGATTCTGATAACTGATCTATTTAGGGCTATGAAGTAGAATCCACTAGACTGCTTTCAGCAGTCATTTCCTTTCTCCCAACTCGCAGTACTCAATTTCACGGGCGCGTGGAAATAAGCTTGTTTCCTAAACTGTTGATCCTCGAAAACCTTCGGCCTCAAATAATAGCGACAGAGGCTAATGTAATACGAACTCTTATTCCAGAGGTTCCGGGCCTAATTTGCGTCCAGCACACCGGCTATCCCTGAGGGACAGTGCTTACAACTCCGTCGTGACCACTTCCTTCTGGTTCTTATTCAGTCTGTTATTCAGTGATAATTCTATCATTCGGCACCACAAGGGAGCCGGAATATCTCAGTCGGTATAGCGACAGGCTGCGGGCTAGACGGCGGTCGGGGTCGATTCCCGGCAAGGGAAATATAAAGAAAGCAGTCTTCTGGGATTTGGCGCCGTGTATATGTGGTGTTACCGTGTCTCACGGTGTTGTCGCTTGCAGATTTACCTATACTTTTTCTTCAACCCTGAAGATGGGGGCGATACGTTCCTCCGAAACGTCGGTTAACACCACATATACACGGCGCCAAATCCCAGAAGACTGCTTTCTTCATAGTCACCGCCGTGAAAGCCTCAAATCTTACAAGGGAAATATAGTCTTGTTTTCTCTACAGCGGCTCACCCGGTCTCCTATTGAAAGGTTACCGCAGGCTGGTTACCCCTTCGGTAAAGCGGCAGGGGCGTGAAGCCGACCACTCATCTCCATCTATTGCCGAGGTGAAGAAGGTGCAGTTATACCTCCAATCTCCGACATCTTCCTGTAGTGATATTTACTTAGTTAATTACTGGGAGAACATTACAGTTCTACCATTCTCAACCTCGGCACTAGATGGAGGTGAGTTCACTGTAGTTGTCGTAGTTCACTGTAGGTTTTCGAATTAAACTCTCCGTTCCGGAGTAAAATTTACCATTAGTTCATCCATTTTCTTCTCTATCATCCCAAGCCCCTTTGCTCGCAGGGTCTACGTTTCATTGTTGCTCTGGGTAGACGGTTCGCTGCATTTACTGCCCATGTTCTTTCTACTTCTGGTTGTTCGTGGGCCGAACTATATCTTCCCCAAGTTTCTGCAGTACGTTATCCTTCATGTCATGGTCTCCTCTTGTTACTCCTACTCACGGTCTGAGGAATCTCACAAGTGCAGTCTCAATGCGTCGTCCGTCTCCTTTGCTGAGAGTCAGGTACTCGCTGCAGGATTACAGACCACAATATGAAATCCTAGCAGTACGTCCTTCCTCAATTGTTTTCCGAAATTCCTTCTTAATATTCCATTTGTGTTTATTGTGGTTTATTAAAGCCTTGGATTTTTCATCAGCGTTGATAACAAAGTGCTGAGGGGA